CCCAGGCCCGCGGCGGCCCCCGTTCGTCTGCACGCAGCGGCCGGGCAGGGGGAATCCTCGCCCCCCTCTCCACGCAGCTGGAGCCCGAACCTGCCCATCCCTTGTGTCCGCTCGCCTCCCGACACGGGGCCGGCCCAGGCAGCGTGGCTGAGGGGGGGAGGGACCGGTCGTAGCCCGCAGGATCTTCCTGTGACTCACATACTCCTGTGCCCCTCGGACACAAGCCTGTTTGTTGCACTTGGGGCCCCGTGAGCCTGAGCCCACCAAGGGAAAAACCATAAGGCCTCTGAGAGAAGGCAGCCAGCAACTGATTGCTGAGGACAGGTCATAAGAAAACAGGGAAGGCAGTGGATGCTGCTCTGACTGGACCCTTGGTCTGACCCCCATCTGGCACCTCTTATTCTCTGAGGAAAATATTTTTTCCTCACCCCTGTGTTGTAATCTCTAATGTGACAAGCAACAGCAGCAGGGGTGACATTTCCAGGCAGGATGGATTTTCTCCAGCCCTCCGTTTAAGTTTAGATCTCCGCACAGGGCTCGCTGAAGGATGGAACGGCATAAAACCTGATATCGAGACAGCTTTGTCTCTAATAAAAGTGTGCTCAGCCTCTCTCCACAGTATTGTGACTAACACAAGCTTTGTGTCAGCGCGGAGGAGCTAGAGACTGACTAGAAACCGCGAGACTCAAGTTTCACTGTCCTAACATGGGTGAAATGCAGAAGCTACAATGTCAGTTCTGACAAATCGGCTAGATCATTAAATAATTACTGGTCCAAACCCTCTAGTAAAGCAATAAGGAAGTTACTGCACCATGTGTCAGGGGTAGCCTGCTGCTGGCAGGATTGAAAGTAGATGGCCTCTTGGCTTGTGCTGAGATGGAGGTTTGGCTTATTCCTTTAGTGTGGGGTGATGTGCTGTCTTTCATGTTTTGTCTGAAGAGGCATCAAGCTGTGTTAATGTGTAGTGCAGGGTTGCATGCTATACCCACTAACACAGATTTTTGGCAAGATATAGCTGGATAAGGTAGTCAAATGTACTTGGCATAACTTTGCTGTCCTCTCTCAGCATCAGGTTTTCCAGCCCTGGCATTGTTTATTCTGGTGTATTGAATGTCTGACTTGATTGTCTACCCCAGAGGCAGCACTGTCTTCTCTTTTGCTGTCCAAACCCTTCCAAGAAGGGGCAACTGGCTGGGTTTTAATATCCTAGATTAAGGTAATGGTATTCTAAGGTTTTCTCTGCAGTAGCAAACTCTTGCTCTCATTTACAGTTAATGATCATTTGCATCTACAAAGCCTGTTCTCTTGTAGAGGCAGCCTGTGCTTACCATTGTTAGTATCACATTCAAGTAACCAAAATAATGAGGGCTCAAACTACTTCATGTAGATTATAATCCAGCAATTTAAGGACAGAAGGAGGCCCCAGAGCCCAGTCTAGGTCCAGTTTTTTTGTAGCTGAAGTACTTCACAGCATTTCCATAACTCATGGAAACCCATCTGCCTCATCTTGTTGAGCTTGGTGAGAACTAGCTGTGACACACTCTACTCTGGGTATCTTTGTGAGCTTTGTTTTAAAAAAAAAAAAAAAAAAAAAAGTGGAGATCATATATTGAGAGAGAATTCAGGTTTTAGGGTTGTTTTGTGCATTAGAGTAAAGCGCTAGGGGATGGCCCCATTTTCCCCTTCCCATTCTCCTTTTGCAGCTCATTTTTAAATGTATAACTGTGCAGTGTCTCTGATTCTTAAGAATGAATAAAGAAGGTCCTATGAGATGTGCATGTTCTTCCTCCAAGAGTCTTTTTTCCCCTTGTTTTTGCATTACAAGTTTCTGTCTTCTGTGCTGGAAAGCTGGTGGTTTTGAAATAGTGGAGCTGACAGTTTCGTATTGAGAGTTAAATCTGAACTAGAGAGAGTTTGTTTAGAAACTCCTGTTTGACATGCCTATGTGAGCACTTAACACAAAGGGGAAATCTGTATCAAGCCTCTACTAAAGAATCATTAGCTCCTGCCCTTTTGGGTAAGTCTCGAGAACACTGTCCCTTCCTGCGTTGAAGGCATCTAGGGAGTTAACAGCTGTAAACCAGCTCCTGGCCAGTGGTCAGAAAGTTTGAGAAATAGTCAGGGTTGAGTATGGAGAGCCTCAGACCAAGAAGAACAATTCTTGTTAGCATTATGACCACCCCTCCCTGCCCCCCGCCCCCCCAACCCCTTGCTTGATAAAGCAATAGCACTGACCGTTTTGTGCAGGTGACTTTGTTAAAGAGGGCAACTTCCTCTGAGTCTTTAAAGGGAAGAGAGCTAGATGCTGGTTGTAGAATGTAAGCGCAAAGCTTCTCTGTTGAAGCAGGCTTTTTCTCAAAGCCATGTCTGAACAGCTGAGAAATATGTGGTTCTCTCTTGAGGATGAGGGTACCTGAGGATTTCAGGGATTCAGTAGTTTGGTGAATGTGGCTTACATCCAGACGCACCCTCCTGCTGCAGAACTTTACATCCCTGCTGTATCTCCCCCCACAACAAAATGCTTGTTAAGATAACCTGTGGCAAATGTACTGTGGTTCATACAGCTCAGGGATTACTGAAGTCTTTCTCTTTTGTCTGCACTTGAAAGTAGTATTGCTTCCTCCTTTGTCAAAATATGTGAAAATGACGACTTTATTTTTTTTGCTTGTGATAAGTGTTCAAATAATGTTTGCTGCATCCGCATAATCTGGGTCTTGGGAAGGGAAGCTTTGGGGACAGATCTTAGTAGTGGGTGTGCATTCATCTTACTGTGCTTGTATATTAAGATTTATGACCTACAAAACAAATCACTAAATAATAGGAGTGCACCAGTATATCAGTTGATTATTGGATTGGCACCAGTAAAAACAGAAATGACACTGTACCTGCCAGGCCTCATACATCTTACCTCGGGCTTCCTTGCTCCGAGTGCCTACCGGTATTCGGCTTGCCATCACAGGTGGCCTTCTGGGAGGTTTTTCCATGCGCCGCAGTCCGCCCTTTCTCGCCTGCCACGACTTGAATCTTTCAGTGGTTGGGGCTTCGTGTAGCACGGTTACCCTCACCAGTCACCTGCGTCGTAGATGTCTTCTGTGAGGCTCCTCCTCCCCCTGCACCTCGCCCTTACCCAGCCCGGTGGATCTTGGCTGTTTCTGTGGGTGCCTGAATAATTCCCCAGATACACAAATAACAAGCTCACCCCTTGCTCTAGCTCCCTGCTGTCCTGACCTTAGCCCCTTCTAATCTGGGGGAACACAAAACACCTTTCAAAACTTAAATAAAAACTCAGTGGGCCTCACAAGGGACATAACCCTGCCCCTGTTAGGCTTCCTCGTGGAGCCAGTAGCCTCTTTACCCCTCCACTAGGTGACCGGGTCACTTGCCCGTGGCTCAGTTCAGTGGCCCTCTCCTTCTGTCTCATAATCCCATCGCTCCTTGCCCGGTGTCCCACCAGCGTGACCCCCTCTCCGGGTCTTCCCCGGACAGCAGCCCTCTCTCCGGGTCTTCCTCGGTCCGTAGTCCTTTCCACGCCGCTGGGGCTCTTACCTTCCTCTCTCTCGGCTCTCCTGCAGTTGTTATGCTGGCCTCGCTCACCCCCGGTTCCTTTAATCTGCCGTAACGAGTGCCGGCAGTCAGCTCTGGCATTCCATGCCTCCGACCAGCTCCACCAGCCAGGCTCCCTTCCAGCAGCCACATGCACCCCTCATTCCTTTTTGCCGTTGGCCCTTTTATCTCTGCCGGCCGGTGATTAGAAGTGACATCATCCTCCAGCTGTAAGTAATTTAAGGCATGATCCGCGCCATGGGAGCTTCTCCTGCTGTCTCTGCTCTTCCTCCCATCCTGCGGTGAGTAAATTGTCTTTTTTATTCTTTCTCCTCTCTGTTCCACCCTCTGCCCCTGGCCCTGGGGCTCCCCCCATGGACCTGGGAGTCACCCCGGTCTTTCTCTGCCTGTGACAGACACTATTGGCTTTTTTTTTTAATTGTTGTAGCCAATAACTATGGCCACGTGCCTGGAGCACCCTGGCGAGCGTAGTCCAGTGCCTGCTGCCATCCCAAGCCTGTAGCAGACTACAGGTCCCGGCACGCAGTGGGAGAGGGAAAGGGTGCTGGGGAGTGGTCATAGGGCTTCATGCTCAGCAGCAAAGGGACCTTTACCAGCTCCTCCTGTTGCTGCTGCTGCTGCTGCCGCCATGGTAGTGCTATGCATGCAGCAGGGACCTGAGCACCAGGGCTGCTGCGGAGACATTGGGCTGTGCATGGATGGGTTGAGGCAATGCGCAAGGGACATTTCACTCCACTGGGTACCAGGTGCCTTTGCAAAAGCAGCTTCTCCCAGCAGCTGCGGTGTGTGGGGCCTCCTGGCACTGAGGCAGCAGCATTTCTTAAGACTCCAAAAGTGCCTGGCACTACTATCTGCACAAGGGTACATCCTACCCGCCCGGGACAGCAGCCCAGGCTGTGCAGAGTGTGGGACTGCAGGTAGGAGCTATGGCATGCATGGGAATAAGGTAGTTACTGCCTTCCTCATTGAGGACTGGAGCAGGTAAGGGGGGAGGTGTAATGCAAAACAAACAAACAGAAAAGAAAGGTTTACTTATGTCAGTAGTTTAAAATGTCTTGCACTATTACTGAATATCGGTTATTGGATTGGCATTGGTCAGTATGATTTGGTTAATCGTCAGGTATCAGTATCGGCCAAGAAAATCTTTATCGGTACACACCTACTAAATAAATTTAACTCCATCTGTGAAACATGATTCAAACCTGTGCCAGTCAGATTTGATACTCTTTAGGAGAGAGGTGTTTTGATGTGCATGGTATCTCGGATCCAGCATTTCACTTTAGGCAGGACCAGTTTTGTTGTAGACACTGTAGGAGAATAGGCCCACAGAGCTTTTATCCCTCATTTGGGTCTCTAAGCACTCCTTTGATTGAAAGAAGTCGCAAGGTTGAGGCTTGTCTTGGGGAAGCTTCCTATTTTCCTTGAGATGTGATGTGACTGACACCAAGGTTTGGGAAGCAGTTTGGCTTTTGAAGTGGTGACTTCCTGTATGAAGTGTCAGTTGCACCTGAGTATTTGTAAATGCATGTCTCTAACTTCTTCTGAGCCTGTTTGAGGGAAAGGCTGAGACAGACTTTGTTAGAATGACTGGAAAGGGTCAACTGTTAAAAACTCCCTGAACTTAACCAACTAAAATTGTTCAACTTGGCAGTTCCTGATAGCAAATGACCTCATATGTTTTGCTTGATGAAATTGGAGGGAACTGATACCAGATCCCCAAAGGGAGTGATTTAACAAGACTTGCTTCAACGGTGCAGTAAACAAGGTGGTCAATTAACTGGGAGGATCTGGAGTTAGCCAGCAAAAAGGAGTGAGCAGAACCAAAGGGTTTGCGTTTGATATGGAACAAGATAGTATTGAGATGTGCTTATTTGGAATGTTGGTACATGTATGCACCGTATTTGATTCCTTAATAACAAGAATGTGCCTATTTGTGGCTCTGTGTTTGGATCAAGTTATGAATAATAATAAGTCAAGTTATGAAATACCTGATTTACATAAGGAACTTTGAAACTAGTATATAAAACTCTGTTAGAATAATAGAAAATTAGGGTTGGAAGGGACCTCAGCAGGTCATCTAGTCCAACCTCCTGCTCAAGGCAGGACCATCCCTAACTAGATCATCCCACCCAATGCCTTTTCTAGCCAGGTCTTAAACCTCCAAGGATGGACCTTCCACCACCTCTCTGGGTAACCTGTTCCCATGCTTTACTAGCCTCCTAGTGAGGAAATTCTTCCTGATATCGAACTTAAACTTCCCTTGCTGCAACTTGAGACTGTTGCCTCTTGTTCTGTCATCTGCCACCACTGAGAACAGTCTAGCTCCATCTTCTTTTGAACCCCCCCCTCAGGTAGTTGAAGGCTACTATTAATTCCCCTCTGTCTTCTCTTCTCCAGACTCAATACCTCAGGAGGTACACGGTCCCACTAGGGGGAATGCCATACTGGATCTGGTATTGGCAACGGGGGATGACATGGTAGGGGACCTACAGATCGGTAGCCATCTGGGGGACAGTGATCACCTAATAATAGAATTCACCATAAGACATCGAGTGGGTAGGGTGGAAGTGCTAGACTTTAGGAAAGCTGATTTCAATGAACTCAGGCAATTAGTCAAGGACGCACTGCAGAGTAGGAGTTTTGAAGTAATGGGAGCCCAAGAAGGGTGGCTGTGCCTTAAGGAAACGATCCGGGCACAAAGCGAGACAATCCCGATGCGAGGAAAAAGAGGGAAAGGGGCCAGGAGGCTTCCTTGGCTGACCAGAGAAATCCAGGGCAGCCTAAGGGACAAAAGGGGAGCACATAAAAAGTGGAAACAGGGAGAGATCACCAAAGACAAATATACCTCCTCTGCTCGTGCTTGTAGGGAGGCAGTTAGACGGGCCAAAGCTG